CTAGAGGCTGTGTAAAAGCCCGTTGCATAATAAAGTTAGCATTAATTACATTTAATAAAACAATTATAAATTAAAAACTTTAGTGAGAAAACTTTTACTAACAAATTTTATAATCAAAATAAAGCTGAGCAAAGTTCTACAGAAAAAAAGTTTTTATACTTGGAAGTTTAAGGTGATTTTTTTTTTCGCTTTTTTAAATTCAAACTATTATTTTTTTGTTAAATTTTTAACAAATTATTTTAATTTTTTTTTAAATTCTTCATTAACTTAATATCATAATTAGTATGTTACAATAGTTTGGAAATTTTAAAATGATTTGTTTAAAAGTTACTTCAAGCTTTACTAAGAGCTTTGTCGCGAATAATTCTCATTTACGTAAAAGCTATACATTAATAAGGAAAACAAATAAAAGTTCAGTTATAAAGCTATAGAATTGATTAGAAGGAATTTTCAATAAATTAACGCTATAATTTAAAGTGTAATCGAAAATAAAGAATGTAAAATAGTTTTTTCAAAAAGAAATTGTTTAAACTTTTTTTTTAAAAAAAAAAAAACAATTATAGGGGAGTTGAAAAACGTTTGGCTTGCTTAGTTTGTGTAACATACTGTTTCTTACATTGAGCCTAAAAATGTCGGGAACTTATGGCTTTTTGCCTCGCAAAATTTAGCGTTAGCTAAAAACGCTACCTTCATTTTTGCATAACCTTAACATACCTTGAGAGTCCCATCTCTTAAAAGAAAAATCTATAAATAATAAATTTGATTAGTAAGACATTCCCTGTTATGTACTCATTTTTTAGTACATGGAATATTAGTTATCCTCGGAATAGAGAATTTAAAAAATTTCTTGTCTGAGTCATTTTATAAGAAGACTATGGAGGTAAACATCTGCGATTATAATAGAAGTAATTTAAAACAAATGGATGATACGAGATTCAGTTGTTATATTAGATTTTTACTATCACAGTATAGAGCTTCTTTGAGCGAAACAAATAATCATTTACGTTACTCAGAATTGAAAATCTCAAAAATATTTCTGAGTACGCCTAGCAGCAATTCATTATTAGTTCATTAGTTTGGCTATATTATGTCGTCCCAGGGAGACCAACGAATTATACAAGCCAACCAGTCTTGGATTAATTAAAATCTCCTTACTTATTTTCCTTTTCTTTTAATGTATTTTTCTTTCTTTTTTCCATACATTGATGAAGTAAATTATTGTAATGAGAAAAATTCTATCCGTTAAAATCCAACTTAGCCAACCCACGAAATATGTACGTATAGATCATTTTTTCCCCCTCTAATACTGAAAGAAGAATTTCTTTCTCATCTATTGCTAAATGAGTTAATGCAAGCCATGCGCAACAATTTACTAATTTGACATGGGTGCTAAATGTGAAATTCGGCGAAAAACAAATTGGACAAAATTTAAACCAAATATTTTTATCTCAAATTTATTCTGATGATTGTTATGTTTTTTCGAACGTAAAAGCTCTTGGAAGCAAAAACCAGACTCAACTGATCACGCACACATTAGCTGAAAGCACATTTTAGTGACTTTCTTACGGAACAAAAATAAAATCACAACGCTACCACATCAAACTTGAATCCAATGGATTTTTCTTCATTAAGTTCATCTTTGAGACAAGGATTTGAGCTAAACCGCATGAAACTTTGACAACCTTAAAAAAAACAATACTTGCGCAATGAATACGCTTACAATTTATTATAGATTAACTGTGGCCTGTAGCAGAAAATTTTGTGACACTTTACAACTCTGCGTCGAGGCCGAAGTTAATCACTTAAAAAATTTGTAAATGGGCTACAGGTATAAGTATTCATGTTTATTTGAAAATTCGGTTGCATAAGCAATATAGTGTTAATGTGTGGCGAAGTTCCCGAAATAGCAACGCTTGCTACTCAACCTTAAAAACAAAACTTATCAAACTTTACTAATTACTTTAAAATAAATCATAGATATGCTTTTCATGTTTGGAAATGAATGCAGAATTATCTTACGCCTAATATTTTCAACTTTTTTCAACCAATCTTGGCTTCATTGCTGAAAAAATAAATTGAAGAGAAATAGTGTTGCCTGTTGTTTACAAATATAAATTGGAGCATGTTCGCTGGAAAGTTAGTATATGTTGGCTTCATTCCCAAGGTACTTAAGTCGTGAGCTTTTTGGATTTTTTTTTTTTTTTAGTTACTTATTATTTACTTTTCCTCCTTGAAATAAATAATACCCATAGGATAAGTGTATTCTTCCATCGTTTTAATAGAAATTTTTTAACGTCTATTTGAAGAACTATTTGTCCTAGTTTTTCAACAACAACATGAACGTTTGCTGAGTTTTACTTAAAATGCGTCGTATTGCATTCACATGCGCCTAGCGCGTTGCATGAGTGCATTTTTTTTCTATGGAGCCTGTGCAAATGGCATTTGTAATTACAGCTGGATACATGTTATAAAGAAATGTATACAAAAAAATTACTCTGAATCAATTTATCAGGAATGCGATTGTAATGCGTTAATTTATACTCCGTTGGTACAGATGGCAAAGCAGTATTTTAAATCTGTGTTATTAAGAGTTCGAGGATGTTCTTAATTCGAAAAAAATATTTACATTTAGGGAAATAATTTTTGAAATGATCTTAATTTTGAAATCACATTAAATCATAAAATGCATTTTTTTTAAAAATATTTTTCGGAAGAAATATATGCGATGAATTTACAAAATCTTATGAATAATGTTCATTCAAATATAGCATGGGGGGAAAAAAGGGAGAGCTATTTTTGCAAATGAAGAGAATGATTAATTGTTACGTAAATCACAACATTGAATTCTCTGCATCAGAAAGAATATCTCTAAAATAATTAATAATTAAATACCTCTTCCGCAAAAAATCATGCGCAATCATAGGTAAGGAGAGCGACTTGCTGACAAATTGGGTCCAAAGTCAACACAAAAATATTTACGTAATATTTTACTGGTTCTATAGCTGATATCGTTTAAGATTAAAATGATCGTAGATAATTATTTATTTTACATGGAAACTTAACATATATATGAATAAAACTTAATGTATATGAATGAATGAAATTTAATGCGTATATACTATTAATTATTTACTATTGATGCACTAAAAAATAAATAATTTGGGACCAATTTAAACCTCATATTTAACATTCACTGTTTGTACAGTTTTTACACGTACAAAATAATGTAATAGTTTTAACAACTGAAAATTCACTCCTCCTTTCTTTTCATGATTCAGTTAATTATAGAATAAAATGAAGAATTATACAAAAATGATAAATCTTATTAAACAGTTATAAAAATAATGAAATTTAATGCGTATATACCATTAATTATTTACTATTGATGCACTAAAAAATAAATAATTTGGGACCAGTTTAAACCTCATATTTAACATTCACTGTTTGTACAGTTTATACATGTACAATAATGTTGTAATAAAATTGAGTATACAACTAAAAATTTATTCCTCCTTTTTTTTCATGATTCAGTTAATTATAGAATAAAATGGAGAATTATACGAAAATGATATATCTTATTAAACAGTTATAAAAATAGTCTTTATAATAAAAAAGATTTTAAGTTAATTATAGAATAAAATGGAGAATTATACAAAAATGATATATCTTATTAAACAGTTATAAATCTTTGTAATAAAAAAGATTTTAAGTTAATTATAGATTAAAATGGAGAATTATACAAAAATGATATGTCTTATTAAACAGTTATAAAAATAATCTTTGTAATAAAAAAGGTTTTAAGATAATTATAGAATAAAATGGAGAATTTTACAAAAATGATATATCTTACAGGGCTCGAAAAACCGCCAGTCCGTCCGTCCTCGGCGGTCAAAAATTCCCTGCGGACAACGAATTTCTCGAATCCGACGTCCGCACGGACGGCTATTTTCCCGTTAATGTTCATGATACATTTTCAATTTTTGTTATCTTGCAAGTGGAACCGGTAAACGTCATATTTGATTCATTTAAAGAAACGCAGTACCCTGGGATAAATTGACATTCCAGATAACTTGACCTTTGTCATTTAAATTATTTCATAAAAGAAGATCAAGAAAATGAATCATTTATGTTGAGCAAATGTTTTTTCTAAAAAAATTATCTCTCGTAACAATTTCTTTAGTTTAACTCTACTGGCACATATAAATATTTTGTAATGCTTTTTCATGTTTCAGAATGAGGCATAATTAATGAAAATAAAAAGAAGATTTGTGCCACCAGGTGCAAAAATCAGGAAAATTTGATAAAATCAATTTGGAAAATCAGGGAAAAAAAATTTCTGAATATTTGTGGTCATTCTGCTATCGTGAGAAAATATCAAAAGTATTTTATTTCAAATTAAAGAAAAGTTTTATGATAATGTAATTTTTGGTGTACTATGTTTTTAATTTTGTTCATTTTTGTAGAGAAATGCACTATCCACCTGAAACTGCAAGTATTATGCTCATAGCAAGAATGATTGCAACTGTTAAACAAGTANAAATGATATATCTTATTAAACAGTTCTAAAAATAATTTTTAGAATAAAATAGATTTTAAGTCTTTTTTAAAATTCAAACTTAACTCTCATTTCCCACTGCATTTTATCATCGTTCAAATACTTTTTTTTTTTTTTTTTGGAATGCGAAGAAATAAAATGAAAAATACGAATAGCAAATGAGTTTTTCTGAAAACGTATTATCCTCATTACGGAAAAAAAAAAGAAAAATGATAAAGAATCATCATTAAGGACAATACCTGGAAAATTTATTCATGAAACGAAAGGAATTTTCGTGAAAACAAAGAATTAGTATCAAGTTCAAGGTTACGCTAATCGGAATTAACGAAAAACAAGATTGGATTGAGAATCATCAAGCAATTCGTTGCAATTACAGTATCAACTCAACCTTGAACTTGTAACCAAAACTCGATTTCCACAGTTGAATTCAGACTGATTGTCTTACTTGTAATTTGAAAGACGGCAGCAGCCAAGGCGAATGGCCAAGAAGCTTCCTCACGAGTTACGTCATAGTTCTGGAGAATGGCCACATATATTACACCAGCTGATCTGAAGATACCGAAAATTGCAAAATGTATAAAAGCACAGCAAACAACAACGACCCAACTGTAACCAGTATCTGGACCTTCCATATTCAATAGATGGGTAAATGGTAAAACGTCTAAAATTGGAGGAAAGTATTTTAATTCATCCCATTTGTGAAGAAATGATATTTCGATGCCAAGGTTGGGAGGTTTTTGGCGAGAATGATTCTGAAACTATTTTCACCCAGTTTCTTTTTTCTTGCTCTGGATGTTCTTTTCACTGTTATGCTGTTGAATTAGCAGCAAGGGAGTATCAATCATTCCTGTAAATAGAACACAATATTTACCTTCAATAATTCAAATTGAAATGATATTATAACTTTGAATTTTGCAAAAAAGAAATTTAAATTTAATAACAAAAACAGTAGTTCCTCACAAAATTTTGAGTCGGAGGTTTGAAAAAAGTATAATTAATTTTTAAATTTAAGTCATAACTGAATTAATTTCATTTCTACGGGTTTTAAAAAAAAGTTGTAGTCATCCAAAAAAAAGCACCACACTGAATAACTTTTGATCTAATGATTGATCTTCATGTTATGAGACACTCAATCTTAATAGTTTCAAAGGGTTGACCTCAAATATACTAATTAGTTCAGATGATATTTTGAAATGTGAAACCAGACGCAAAAATATACTTTCTCTGAATAAACGTACCTTTTTTTCGTCGGATTCGGATTATTGGCCGTCATAGGGGTAACAGCAATCTGGGAAGTGTGATCCTAATTAGGTCAGGAGAATGCCAAAAGTTTGAACCCCTTCGTTAATTTTACCTTTTTGCGTATTTCGCTATATCTCGAGAACTTTGCAAGCGAATTGAAATATTTTTGCACACAATTCTAAAATTCATTTATCCAAAAATGCAAAAAATAACTTTTAGTAAATATCTATTATTTTCTATTATTTCATTTAATATTAGTAAAAAAAATTCATTATAAGGTAGATAATTTTTTACTTCATTTAAAAGAATGTAATGTTGCAATGGCAAAAATAAAAAACGCGAAATCGATAAAATAATTCCTGAGAAATATAATATTAAAAAAAAAAGTCGTGCTCTTAAAATTCAATAAATTAAATCAAACAATCACAAATCTTTAAGCCTACAAGTTTTATAGGCAATCAATTTAACACGCGTACTTTATTATAGTAATTAGATTGTATAATAAAGCAAAATAATATACAACTTTATAAATCCTTCCGTTTGTAACTAAAATTCACTCTCAAAGTTTTTTTTTACCAATCCTTCTTGCTTTTAGTTATTTAAAATACTCAGTAGCGTGTAATTTCATTTTGTTAAAAAAATCCAATTGAATTCTATTGACTTTATAAATTAGCGGTACTACAAAAAAGACCGGCATAAACGTTTGTACAAAACATTTAGTATATTTTAGTAATTTTTGTAAGAAATATAATTAATTTTTCATTTGTAAGATATATATATATATATTTTTTTTTTGAGACAGTCAAANTTTTTTTTTTTTTTTTGCTCATTGAAACTAGAGGCCTCCAGCCACAGGCAGTGCGTGATCATTTCACGTAAATCTTGCGTGATACGTCAGCTTTTATACTTTAATTTATTCTGTACTTAGTTCAAGATACATTAAAGGCTCCTACTCACTCAGTGACGTAGTTTTGAGGGCAAAACCATCCCCGAAATTATACATTACTTAATTAATGAGATATTATACGGTTAGTAGGATGTAGATATAAAAAAGTTTTAATTTCTTTTCATTTTTCAAACAGAAAATAAATTTCCGTAAATACATCAAAGTGACAAATTTCCATTATAAAAAATTTGTGTATTACCTTGGCAATTTTTTGACACTAGTCGCTAAAAATAAAAATAAAATAGAGACACTTGCATATTTCAGCAATAAAAAAAAATGCCAAGTTATAAGTGTTTGAAAACTTAAAAACTTATTGTCGTATTTAATAATAAACCGTAAAAACTAGCTACCTTTTTTTTTCCAGATATTTTCATGGAGTTTTCTGATGCAAATTTTCGTCCAAGTACAAATTTTTATAATATTTGCACCAGGGATAATGATCCATCCAAAAGGATTGCCAGAAGAAAGTATAGTATTTCCTCGATAAAAAAAAAAAATTCATAGTTTTTCCAAGTGCCGGATATAAATGCCGTTCCTAAGATAAGGATATCCGGATGGTTTCAAAAACTTTTTAGACACATCAAAATATAGAATTAAACTTTAATACATTAATGTTTGCATTAAATAGCAATATTTTTCTGTGTAGTTTTTGTTTAATAATTATAAACTTTTTATAGTATATACTGTACAATGACTTAAATATTATTTAAGTCTTCGCATCAGTCTATTCTCATCACAAACTACAATAACTGGCCTATTTTTTAAAAAGGAACTAAGATTAATTAACAAAGTATGGTTTACTCTATTGTGCTAAGAAAAATTTACTGCTTTTGCGGCAGTTGTACAACGATAAACTTAACAGTTCAACTGTTTCCTCTAAAGATTTTCTTAAATTTATCTTTTAAAAAAGACAATCGTTTAGGTGTAACATTTACACTAACAGCACTAATATCAGAAAGTAATATTTTGTACATTTGCCTCTGTTAAGGTTTTTTAAGATTTACTTTCATTTTTTGTTAGAACTAACAAAGACCAGTTTGAATGAAGTTGAAAAATTCTTATAACGTAAATTACATTGAAAGAAAGATTTTTTTTAAAAAATCGAAAAACCGACAAAAACCGTATATTACCGTGCTATTGCAAAAAACAACGTAAGTGCATCGAAAAAAACCACTTCACTTCCAATTTCTTCCCCCCCCCCTCTTCTTTTTTTACTAGTAAAGCTGAAATATTATTCCAGAAAACTAATTTTTTTTTAATTTTTTTCGTAGGGTTATTATTCAAGTATACCAAATATTTAAAAATCTCAATTTAGAATTTTTTGTCGCTTACGTTGATTTTTCTATTGCGTAATAGTATAAAACTAGACTATACCTTTTTAAAAATGCTGATTAAAAAATTGCATTTGTATATTTTTGTTGATTAAAATTCTTAAAAAGAAAAAAAAAATTCTCTAGTGATCGAAATTATTAAATACCGCGTGCAATATTTTTCAGATTCTCATTGTAGGACTAGTTACAATTTTGTTTTACATGTTTCGAAAGATACTCCCGAGTATCTTTCAATTATCAATAAAAAAAATATATTATCAATGAAGAATTATCAAATTATGCGTGGAAATTAAATGTCAATTTTTTCACATGTTTCGAAAGATACCTCCTAGTGGAGTAAATGAATAATTCTCAATTTGTAAAAATAAAATGTCAATTTTTTCGCATGTTTCGAAAGATACTTCCCAGTGGAGTAAATTAAATTTATCAATTTGTAAAAATAAACGATCATTTTTTTCACGTGTTTCGAAAGATATTCCCGAGTATCTTTCAACTATCAATAAAAAAAAATATATTATCAATGAACAATTATCGATTTATGCGTGGAAATAAAATGTGGATTTTTTCACATGTTTCGAAAGGTACTCCCCAGTGGAGTAAATTAAATTTATCAATTTGTAAAAAATAAACGATCAATTTTTTTTCCGTGTTTCGAAAGATACTCCAGAGTAGAGTAAATTAATGCTTATCAATTTATTTGTGAAAATAAAATACCAATTTTTTACACGTTTCGAAAGATACCTCCTAGTGGAGTAAAGAATAATTCTCAACTTATTTGTAAAAATAAAATATCGATTTCTTTACATGTTTAAAAAGATACTCCCAACTGGAGTAAATAAACAATTATCAATTTATTTGTGAAAATAAAATATCAATTTTTTAATGCATGTTTAACTTTATTCATTTTCCGTCCCCACAGAGTACGGATTTAAGGAAAGAGGCCTCTAAAGGTAAAGACATGAAAAGGAGTCACAAATCAATTCCAAAGGAAAAAAAAGTTAAAAGATTATGAGAATGCCAGAGGGTAGAGGTGTATTTAGGCAAGGCCTCCATGGGTTGTAGTCAAAAAGCAGTCTTAAAAAACTGCATTTACATGAAAACTTTAAAATTAAAAACTTTTTTTGTGAGTCTTTCATAAAAATTTTCAAAAGTCGATAAAAGTATATTTGGTAACGTTGTATCGTAAAGATCAGACTAATTTAACGTTTAAAAAGGATGGAAAAGTATTGAACTCATTGAGTACTCTAAGGCCAAACTGTTTGGAGAAATAATTGTAAAAAAAAATCTCATTTTGGAGCTCAAGAGTGTGTTGATTACGCTACTTAAAGGATTTAGCGCAAAATCAAATGTACTGAAAGTTTGTTCTACTATATACCTTCACTTATTCCATGTTTAAAATAGCGATCCCACTCAATTTTTAATGTATTCAATAAAATTCTGAAATAAGAAAAAAGATAATGATTTTAAACTTTTATTTTTTCTCATAAAAATTAATTGATAACCATAGTTTTGTTCCGAAATTAAAATATCTTTTTATTTTTCAAAGATTAAAAATTTTTTAAAAGAAGTAAATATTTTGTTCAAAGTTTTTTTTTAACTAAGGTTTTATAATATTACCTAATTAATTACCAAAACCATAATCCAACGCTATCTGAATGTTGAAGGAAACTCCAGCATAGCGGTTCCCAAAAGGTGTTGTGCGGAACTTTAGGGTTCCGTGGAAATATTACAGGGTTCCGTGAGCTACTACTTTATTTTCAACCAGTAATGATTTTTGTAATAAGTTCGTTTTAAAACATAATCGATTATCTATTTAATAATTTGGTTGTTATTATGAAATCATTTAAGTAAAATGCCATTAAAAAAAAAGCAAATTTTAAGATGAATATTCAGAGGTTATTTTCTCAATAATTTTCCAAATTACATTTTTTTCTAATAAAAAAATTACTAAAAGGATAAATATTAACAAATAATTGTATCACTTTGTCTCATAGAATTTTAAAATTCAAAATAAAATAATCAACTTCAAGAATTACTTTATTGCTTTTCTCCAATAATCATTTTCACATTTTATAAGTTCTTTTTTTTAAAAAAAGAAAAAAAACATTATTTAGTTGTTTTATTCAATTTGATTTCATGTATTTGCCAAAAAATAATAAACTAAAAGTTGTTGTAGACTTGCGAATTCAACTGCCTAACATAATACTTAATTTTAAAATTGTTATTGATGAAACAATGAAAAAAAAAATCATTCTTCCCATTTTATTTCTCTAAATTAGTTTAAGAGTTTCATTTTTTTTTTGTTAGCATATTTACACCTGACTTCTG